TATTTCAGTATTTATGAGCAACAGCAATGCTTTATGTTAATATGTGTTGCTGAGAATGCATCTTTTTTGTGTAACGTGTAAAGATAGCATATGTGAGGCTCACACAGCCATGAGCTGGCAATGCCATAATTATCCTTTTGGTTAAATAGTGGAAATAATGTAATATTCAATCCAGAGCAGGTAGTAGATTTTAGCTCTAACATCAGCACACAGCATGAGAAGTTTGTCCTCACCAAACTGTTGAGAAAAAGATGCAAAACAAATATAAACTATACTTAATATTTAGTTTGATTAGCATAAAAAGTGAAACAAAAACAAGCCAGATATTTAGACTATATGTGTGTAAGTAAGACTAATATTGTTTGAGAAAAGAGATACACAACAAGGTCAGATTTCCATCTGGCAATGAATTTCCAGCAGTGATTTTTTTCCCTCCTCCCAAAGCTCATTGTGGCTTTGAGTCCCTTGTTTCATCAAGGACTGCCGACAATACCGCTCTAGAAAAAGTGACGGACAAATCAAACTTCTCCCCAAGCTGCGAGAAGTCCTAACTGAAGAAGTAAAAATAACCTTGGCATTTTAAAATGTAGTCTGTAGTTCCTTTCTTAAATCTTGCGGCCAGCTGTCGCTGCTTTAAACAGCGAAGACTGCTGACGATACCAAATTAAGGACAAACTTTAAAACGTCCTGACTAATTCTGCTAAAAAAAAAAAGAAGAAAAAAAAAGGCCTCAAGTGAAGAGGACATCGTCCAGATTTTTAAGGCATCTTGTGGCACTTATCTGTCACGTTCAGCTGAATTTCGTTTTGCTCATTTTAAAAAGGTTGAGTGATAGAGAATAGTAGCACTGCTGTTAATCCGTTTTTAAAGTCACTGTAAGCTGCCATGTGCGCAGCTAAGGCTGCTTTTCTCCCCAGTGCCTTCCTTTGGCAGGGCACTGGGGAGAAAATTAGTCTTAGCTATACCAGACAAGGATTGTTGTAAGGTTTGGCTCTATCAGTTTCTGATACAGTAAATCACTGCACATGGCTTATAAATATTACCATGTAGATAAGCATTGTTGTCATGTATGCTCTTAACCAATAATGTGGTTAAGATTATGAGTTATTTTTTTAAAGAGAATCATGGGAGGTGTCTTTTTATCTCCAGATCTTTCTTCTTCACTTTCTACAGAACCTATTTTTACCACAATGTTGAGGACTTTTTATTGAAATAGATGCTTTTATAAGGGGCGATCGTGGCTCAGACAGTCTCAATCGTTGTGTCCTTGGGCAAGACACTTCACCCGTTGCCTAGTGGTGGTTGTTAGAGGTCTCGGTGGCGCCAGCCTCTGTCAGTGCGCCCCAGGGTGGCTGTGGCTACAATGTAGCTTGCCATCACCAGTGTGTGAATGAATGGGTGGATGACTGGTTGTGTAAAGTGCTTTGGGGTCCTTAGGGACTAGAAAAGCGCTATACAAGTACAGGCTATTTATAAAATATTTATTGTGCTTGGCTGTAAAATAGTACTTCAACACTGTCTGCACCACTACTGTGACATTGTTAATGTAAATTTATCTTTGTGTGAATATACGCTTACTCTCAGTGTATGAATGCAAGGAGTGAAAACACTTACTGAAAGAAACAGCTGATGATGGCATCTGTAACTATGAAGCTGACTGTTGGAGAAACCTTGAAGGGTCAGCAGAGGTCAGACACGCATGTGAGGCCCCAGAAACATTATAACTTGAGAATCCTGCTGCAGTTTTGATATGTGCAGTTTGCGTTTGGCTGAACTTCTGTGGGGACAGTAAGGTTCCGCTGTGACCAAAACACCAGAATAGAGACAACGCAGAGTCTGAATTTTCTCTTTCGGGCACACAAGGAGATCAAATCTCTGCCATTAATTGTTAAAAACGAGACCTTTTATTATGCCGGTGGAAACCTTGGAGCTGCTAATTCTCAGGCTCTATTATGCACTCTTGACTCCATAGGAACTCTCAACTGAATTAATTAAATCAATTAAAACAGAGTCACGGGGTGCACTCTAACAGTAAAAAAAGAGAGTGGAGGCTCACGAGGTGTGAACAGATGCTCTATTTTTGTTTACCGAAGTCTTGTTTATTCCTGTGAAGAGACTTTAGATATGCATCTTCTGACTTGTGGTTATTGCTATTACTTTAGCCACTACACTCGTCTGTGTATTTTTATTTTGTCTGCATCGCATTGGTGCTATTTTTGGCTGTCTGACCATGACCCTGATACCGAAGCTATAAATGACAGGCTGACAATGAGGTATAATTCCTCCATACATAATGATTATTGTTCCAGCTCACTTTTCCAGCATTTAGGGTTGTGTGTACAGACACATTCAATTACCGGAGCTGAAAATCTAAACACCCCCCCCTTCCTCCCCATTTGCTGTTAATTTATTCTTCCTTATCTCATAACAGGTGGCTGTGACAACCTCCTCATGCTGAATGCTTTTTTAAATCCCTGTATTTAGGTTATAGTGAAAATCTACACATTTGAGTTAAATTAACCTTTGCCAGACTCACTATAACATGGTTTTTAGGGTATTATTATCATTATCTACTCACCATTTCATACTGTGTGAATGAATGAATAGGTGTAGATGAACACATACATACCATGGACATGGGAAACATAAATAAAATGAAATTTTGGACAATTAAAAAAAAAATTGCGTAAGGTTAAAGCAAATTCTTGACGTATAAAAACAATGACTCAATGTTGTGCATGGAGTGTGGAACAGGAAACAGACCTAAAGACAACGACAGACGATAAAAGCAGTTAACATCTGTGATTTAAACCAAGTGCAGCATCTTTCGAAAAATAAAAATATTTTGAGAGGACACTGCGAGAAATAACAAGCTTGGTAAGCGACTTGAAACTACCGGACCTTTTTTGAATCCTGAAAACCGATTGATGCTAGAACAGCGTTTTGATTTAAAATAGCAGGAAATTAAGCCGACTGGGGTCGCACTCACTAAGCTTGTATATTTGTTGTAGTGAGGTTCCAGCATTGATAAGCAGGACGTAACTAACTCTCTGCACACGAGGTATTTCTCAAACAATGGAGGGGCTCAGGGGACGATAACTATCGACAACAATAATTGTGCATGTTGTCTTCATGCTGTATCTTTTTGTCCTCTGTGGTAAATTACCAATTCTCAACGCAAATAGGTTGTGCGCTCTTTAAAAAGGTGTGTTCAAACAAGATAATGTGCATCAGATATTTGATGTGTCGAAACAATGCATGACAATGTGTGTCGAAAGAGCGTTTTTAAAGAGCGTTACAGAAACAGTCACTTGTTATTCCTGAAAGCTCACACAATCAACGGCTACAACTGTAGCAGTAGAATCCTCTGAATTCGATATACTATATATCTAACACTGTAAATATTCGAGCAACACAAAGTTCACGTACAAAATTGTACATGTAGTCCTCACATTCTCACGTTATAAAAAGCTGACAGATTTGATAGTTTAAATAAGTAGTTTTTCTCACTGAATGGGGAGTCTGAAGATAGAAACTGCTTCAAAGTCTGGTGATGTAGCACTGAATACTTCTGTATCACTGGCCAGATGGCAGCAGGATAAAGAGGCAGTGACTGGGGTGGGTATTGCCTTCTGGTCTCCTTTGAGTTCTGCACAAACGCCTCCCCAATATCACTGATTATTGGTAAAATGACTACCGGTGATGCTCTCCTGCTACAGAGCCTTCTGGTCTTGGGCCATGTGCATTCCATATCAGTAACGTGGCACCAATGTTTCACTGGGACCAAACTGCACATTATAAAATCGTTTTGAAAGATTGTATTTAAAGTGTTAGATATTACTAACAATTTTCAGTATGAGCTTTCAGAAACAGCAACGTTTCTAAATGGCAGGACAACATTTCCTTTCCTGCTTGGAGGTCTACAGGTAAACTATTCTCAACTTTCTGGTTGGCTAGCGTGTTGTCATGGCAACAAAATAAACAACAGTATAGCATGTGGTCACACCTTCTGCTTACAGGGAGTGTGAAATATAAATGTGTATATACAAACACTCTGTAACCCTGTATTTAATCATTTTTGTCATCTTTTTAAAGATAGAAGTTTTTGAATAAAATGCTATTTTTTAATTACTCATTTTCCAAACCCATTTCAGACCCAAAAATTATTCATTTTTTTTCATAACCCAGTCAGAAAAACACACTAGTGCAAAATTTGTGCGGTTTATATAAAGTTTATATTATGGGGTCCCCGGCAGCAGTGGTTTGGGAAGTCCCATGGGGCCACTGGGGTTTTGAACATACGAGTCTGTTCATCAATATCTTCACTGAAGAAAAATGCCAGAAGAGACAATAAGAGGCTATTTGCCTCTGCTTCCACAGCAACATGTCCTCCTTCCAGCACGACTGACAGAGGTGTCTATCTGTCCTTTTGTTTGCGTCTGTCAGTCAAAGAATCTGTCAATCAGTTCATCTATTTCTGATTTTGTGGCTGGAGAGTATAATAAAATCAGTCATTTCCTGACTGATAGTCCCGATCAGAGCTATGAGAAGACAATTCATTTCCTGGATTTGGCTACAGCTGATTGCAGCAGTCGACGATCCTGACAGCTTATTGCCTCCAGGCTTCCACTTGTTCAGCCACCAAGCACAGAATCCTGGCTAGTTTAAGAACGAGAATCAGTTGTCTGACTCCTTGATTGTATTAGACAGGCCTCTGGAAACCAGTCCACTGCGTACACCAACCGGGCAACTCAAATGTCTGGTTTTCTGGTTTATCTCAGCTTGCCTAATGCTACTGTGGAATATTGTATTAAGTTGACTGCATGTATTTTGTACCTTTATATAATCCTATTTGAAAATGTTCAATTGACATCTAAAATAAGTCCACAGGTTCTGATACTGAACTTTGTTTGCACAAGCCTGATTTGGTATGTTTTAGCCTAATAAGTTGCTATCTACTGTTTGTAGACATTATTAGAAAAGGCGAAATAAGGTAAAGACAATTACAGAAACCCATAATTAACTGACAACTAAACTTTACTAACTCTGTGATTGTCCTGCTATATTGAACCCAACTCGTTCAGATCTCCAAATAGGCTAAAACATCGTCAAAACTTCACTGCAGCTTCTACTTGACCCTGGCTTGATTAGCACTCGTCCATCACAATTAACACTAATTTCATTCCAGTGTCCAGGACTGAATGAGAGTGTTATTATGTCAGTATGTTTTGTCGGTCTTACAGCAGTCTGTGCAATCACTGTTATTTTTTGAATAGACTCTGTTAAAGTGTCATTACATCTCAGGGTATAGTCCTGTCAAGTCCCATATAAAGGAAATCCAGAAAGAGGTATATCTACATATATGAACCATCTAATGTCTGGAGGGTGGATGAGTTTCCCCTGAGGTCTGAACCTCAAATGAGTCAAACCCATTCCTGGCCTGCAGCAGGGGAGTTCGTAAGGGGCACCGGGCTAGATCAGCATGAACAAGTTTAATTGTAGAGGGGATTTCAGAGGCCCATATGACACTGGCCATATAAAACTCTTTCTATAAGAAGGTTGCGAAAAAGCACGTCAGCCAAAACTGGACAAACATGTTCTTTCAGGGAATTTAATTAATTGTATCCTAAATCTGTGTTTTTCCCTAATGTCTGAATTATAGCATTGGATCTCCTGAACGACAGACATTGTGTTACTTGATGACGTCATTGTCTCCTCCCATGCTTATAGGTTCCAACTGATTTCTCCCTTTTTCCTCTTTCAGACTACAGGGGGGTATTATCCTTGTTCAGGTAGGAAGTGGAGTAGAGCTGCATCACTGTGCAGATGATGCTGTACGAGGACCAGCGTGCTACACAGCGACTGCTCATGGTGACGAGTCCAAATCCTAAGTTAGTCCTTTTGTTTTTGTTTGGTTAAACCACACTGCAGACTACAGCAATGGATGCTGGACTGAACCACTGTATGGGCAGTGGCATGATAGCTGGACTATACCACAGTGCAGACGGTATTGAGTGTGGTATCAAATCGAACTGCCTTAGCCTCAGTGGGTTTCATGTTGGTGTCATACATTGGATTTTCAAATGATGCCTGACCATTGGAGCTCTCGTGGCCAACATAGCCATTGAACTGGACCTTTGGACGTGTCCTAAAAGAGAAAAGAAAAATGCCATTGCATGAGTTACACAGAGCTACTTTTATAAACTTTATTTATAAAACAACAGGAACAAAAAATACACTACAACCGAAAGTGGACGGGAACTGAAACACAAATGGGAAAGTAAACTATGCAGTAAAACAGCACAACAGTCATATTTTCAATCCAGGAAGAATTTACACAGGCTTGTGAAACTGTTTACCTAAGAAAACGTTTTTGCACACAGACTGTCCAACATTTAGAACAAAAAACAATCAAACCAGCCATCAGTTATTGATCCTCAAGGTTTAGTGACTGATACACTACACTCAGTAGTAGTAGTAGTGAATTGAACCAGAGCCAAAAATGCTAGAGAATCAGGTGGCTCTGCTTGTGCTGGATTTCATACTGTACACAAACTGGTACACAATGGGAGTACTCTCTGTCACTTGCCCTTTTGAACACACATTTAAAATATTCTCTGAAAGCACTCGTTAATATTTATCTCACATTTAAGCTTAGATTTTAGTTTTTATATACAAATATTTGCAATTCTATTAAAAAAACACATTTTTAGCATTTATGTTCAGAAACATTCATCAGCAACAACTCTGTCACTGTTTGTCTTCTGGCTCAACCTGAACAAACTCTTATATTTGTTGAAAACAAATATATACATTGATGTTTTACAGAAAGGTACATAGAAGCCCTGAGCGAATTTAAAATGCATGAATATAGCAGGAAGTAAATAAATTATGTTCCATTATGGCTGCTCCCCCTGGTGGAAACATGAGATATAATTTTTTTCCCCTACATACTACTTAAGGGCGTTACCACTTGTGGCTGCACTGACTACATTGCTCGCAGGGGATCTCATTATGGCCACATACCAGCGGGGGACCAGCCAAGGATCGGACAAAGATCCACCATGCTCCTTTCACGGACTAGCGCGCTATTTAAGTGTCTGTGGTATGTTTCTGAATGCATTTTATATTTGAATTTTGAAAGAAACACTTTGTGCAAAGTAGCAGCTCTTCTCTGAAGTCAAGGTGAGAACGCTTAGCTTTTCTTGGGAGCGAAAAGTTAGCTGTTAAAAAAAAAGACTATTGCTGTATTAATTCAGTTTTATGCCCTATTGAGGATTTTAACTTCAAAACCCCCCAAAAAGAAAACAATTAATGGACAGCAGAATGGCCGAGTTTCACTACTTAAGAGAAAGTCATCTAAGTGTAATGGTTAAAAATTAACTTTTTATTTACCATATTTATTTTTGCCAAATATAGCTGTAAAATGAAATTTAAAAGAAAAAAGAAATGACTTCTCTCTGTCATGTCAGCTGGCTTGTTATGCATGTTGGTCTGAAACTTTACCCTTAAGGTTAAAGGAGCAAACTTTGTAATAGGAATTTTCTAGTAAAATTCTACAAATTGCAGTGAAAATTTACAGCAGGAATGAGAGCATGTACCATAACACTCTGGTTTGAGTAGTTTGGCCGCCCAGTGCCCATCCACTGCTCTTTTATGAGCATATCAGCATGCAAACTGCCATCATCCAATAGCACCGGTTCAAAAATATGCAAATTTATTATTACTCAGCCTGCTTGATTTTTTTTTTTTTAAGAAAGTTACTGCAGGGGTTCAAACGGATATACCATATGACAACCTCCCTCTAATTTGACTGTTTGTCGCCGATTAAATTTTTGGATAATCAGGTCCTATAATCCAGTTAGATGTAATCACTTACTCCCAGACCCTGTGGAACTATTAGCAGGGAGGAGCACTGCAGCAAAAACGCTGTTTGACTCTGACCTCATTAAGAGTGTATGTACGTGTGTGTGCGCACGGGTAGAAATCCAACCCTGGGGAACCACTAAGCCTACCCTACATGCTCAACCCATTACTTTACAAAACTGCACACAGTAACACACACTGCAGACCTCCCTGCGTGGCAGTAGCTTAAATTGCTGCACTGGTCATGGCTGTAGGTGCAATAGTTTAATTTTATTGGTAGAATGAAAAATGGCAACCATAATTGCTTTGACAGTATTATAGATACTGTGCAGACATATGGGCCAGAGCAAGAAAACTCTAGTGTCACCCACTCACACCTTAGTTTTAGTGCATAAGCTAGTAGTATAAGCTACTACCGTACATTCTCTGTACTGTACATTATCTTCTGTTGGCTTGCCATTATGTCGGCTAGGCATGATGATAGGCTCGCCACGCTAACTTTTCCATCCTGCTACTGTTTTAGTGAGGATTTTTTTTCCATTATAGGTAATAAAAGACAAGCAATTTTAAAAAGCAAACATTTCACGTGCTTTGATCGACCCATTTCTATCAGGTCATATACTGCACTTCTTCTTGATGACATGATGCTGACAGAAGGATGACAATGAGATCAAAGACAAAATAAAATGCCCTTTTTTACAAACTTTAAATGACTGCTGTTTTAACAAAGTAGGGCTGCACTATTTAAAAAAAACATTTCTTTGTTTCTTTGGAGGGGAGAAAATAAAGGCTCCCCCAAAATCACCTACAGTGAATAAGGAGAATCCTGTTATTCCAATAACTTCTGAAGTGAAACTTTTTTTGGTTCTAATTGATTTCGTTTTCAATTTATTTCCCTAACTTCAGAGCAACATTTTGGGGTAACCGTGCAGCCTTACTAAACAGCACAAAGAAAAGTCTGAAAACTAAAAATAATAGATGAGAAGTTTGACGGAGGATGTGGCGGCGGGCGGAGGTCTGGTTGTTGTTTGAACCAGATGGATGACAGGTGCCAGTCTTACCTGCCGCCAGGCCCCCAGGTATCTTTTGGTCTCTCATTGTCATCTGTGTCAGCAGACAATGTCCTGCATACAACCATCAGCTTTAATATACATCAACCAGCATTGCACATTTCTAACTGGCAATCAGGTTGTATAACAAATATGATGCAATGATAGAGTCACTAGGCTAGAAGACTAATGAGTGCATATTATGCAAAATGTGCTGTTTGTCTGTGCAAATCTGCATGACCCTGTGCACATCCGTTGGCATACGAGCCTTCACCCAATGTTAACTAAAGCATAGCAAAATACATGCAACTATTGTGCAAGCTAAAATAGGTCTAAATAGACTCTACAAGGCTCATTGCATACTAAAAGCTGTAGCACAGAGCTACCATAAATGACAAGCCAACAGATTAATGTGTGTTAGCGTCCATAGTCTAGCTGCAAAAGATGACTTTGTAAAACTTTGACTGACTACGGCAATGTCCTCAAACTGTAAAACCTCACACAAGTCTTAAACAGAAAACATCGAGATGACATTTTACCCTCAGTATAGTCCTGAATTATCTGGCATCTTAAATCACTGTAAGCCTGCTGTGAACTTTCTAGGAACAATAATTAATATCTGAGGTCAATCAGATTTAACCCACGTGGGCTTAGAGTTTAAAAGCTATAATTACATTTTTCAAATGTCTGTAAACCTGTCTGTGCTAAAATGTATCAAACTGCCACCTTCTCAACTCAATTAGGGACAAAGAACGCATAAACGGATTGCTTTCAAAAATGTATAATTAATCTTTTTAGGACTGGTTGTACTTTGTGAGTCTCAAAAGATGCATGGTTAAGTTTTGGTGTCAGCCCATTTAGAATGGGAAGTATGGAGATTGAAGAAAAGCCAGAACACCTGCTTTGTATTCTACTCTGCTGCTCGTCTGTTTTTTCTTGAAGGACTGATGTTGATGATATAGCTTACCTGTGCTTGTAGAGGTAGAAGGCAAATCCGGAGAGGATAAGGGCAAAGAAAGGAACTAAGATGGCTGCTGCCACAGAGCTGCTGTTTGTGTAAGGGTTTGATGGGTCCATCGGCATGGTTACAGGGTCTAGGGACAAAGACACAGATAAACCAACACATGCATAAACCCCTGCACACAAACACCTCCTAGTGCATGGTTAAAAGAAGCTTTCTGCATTGTTAGTTTCTCTCCTGTGTCCATTTAGGCTTAAGCGACATTTATTTTATATGATTTAACTGATAAAAAGACCTCATTAATATTAAATCTTTTAGTGCTTCCATAATGTTAATACTGATGGTGACATTACAAAAATGCCCACCTTGTCTTGTCAGATAGAACTTGCCAAAATCTTTACTGTGTATATGGCCCTGGTAGACAAACGTCTTCTGGTCCGATTCAGCAGTAACCTGAAAAACAGAAGTACAATTTAATAGGAACTTACAGTACTGTGAAGTATACTGTTAATGTAATATACAGTATACTGCATGCAGCCACAATTTGCATGATCAATTATTTAAAGTGTTGTTTTTATAAATTGCATTAATGTAATAAACGGTTTCATGTTGGGTATACTTTTGATGTACTACCCTTGACAGTATAATGGTTCGGTATTTAACACTATCTTCTCACAGCAAGAAATTTATGGGTTTGAATCTGGTGGTGAAAATTCTTCTCTATAAATCTTGCCAAAATGGTGACTTGAAAACATTTATTTAGATGTAAACCCTTCATGCAATTTTGTTACATAAGCACAATGTCCTGAAAAAAAGTGGTTGCTGCAGATGGCTGTCCCTCCCTTTCTTCCTGTTCAAAGGGAGTTTTTCCTTCCCACTCTCGCCAGCTGCTAGCATAAAGTGAGCTGTTTGGTTCTTGGGATTTTCTCTCTATTACTGCAAGTTTTTTACCTTATAATACAATGGCATGACAAAACTGAATTGAACTGAAGCCTGTTTATTCATAGAGTTCCTCCATGTACTCCAGCTTCCTTCCTCAGTTCGAAGTGTTGCTGGTAGGTTAACTGGCAATTCTAAATTTGCTGTAGGTGTGAATGTGAGAGTGTGTGTCTTTGTTAGCCCTGTGATGGAGTGGCACCTGTCCCGGGTGCTTCTTTGACAGGTGAGACAGGCCGAAGCCCTCCTGCAACCTGAAAAAGGGTTGATGGATGAATACCACATCCTCTACACTGTGCTCCATATTCCGCTCTCTATCAACCCCCTTTGCTCCACTGTTCATCTAGTTCAGAATTTGAGGACTGCTTTATTCCGAGAGCAACAATCAAAATTTCATCTTCTGACTGTAAGATTGTGTTTTTCGGGAATCGGAATCTCACCGAGCCACGTCATCACTTTCTTTCATTTGCATCCAGATTAGCTGTCTGTCTGTGTGTCCATCATTCCTTCCTTCATTCTTTCTGACACTTCTTTCCTTCATGTGTGTCTACAACAATCTTTTATAGTTCCTACACACAGTTACTCAGTTTTTCACTTCTCCTCTCTGTCAACATGTCAAACATGACCAGCTGTCTGTCAAATTTCTCAGCGATACAATATGTAGACCAAAAAAGTCCCAGCTTTGAATATCAATTTTGAGGTTGCATATTTCTTCACATTTGCATCACATAATGAAAAAGTGGGCTTTTTTTTTTCATTATTTGTCTGGTTTTCTTAATCAAAGCAGTTGGAAACTAATGTATACAACGTTACGTGTCAAAAAGAAATTTGGGATACATGGAGAAAATGTGGAATAATTATTGAATAACTCAGCTCCAGATTTGTGATCCTGTGGAGAGTTACATGCTGGAACAATATCGTGTTGAGGATATTAACTTCTGGAGTTATACACATGCCTGGGCATCTCATGGTGACAACAAGCCGTGTCCAAATTCACTCCCACACTGACTGATTCATTCCTGCCTGTATGACAGACAGGCAGCTGTTTACTGAGCAGTAAAGTGACACCATCATTTTGTGAAGCATTGCACAAAGTCAGTTTCCACAATTATAAATGCAAGGATTTGTTCTGAAATATGCTATAATGGGTGGTACAGGCACTCCTCTTAAAATGCCCAGCTGGGAGTGCTTAAGAGTGCAGCTCCGATGCTTTGGTTGCTATGATACGGAATATCCACAAAAAGAAATGTGTTGCCAGTACCTGACTCTAGATGACTGATGCTTACTTAACAAAATCTTTATATCTGTATTATTATATTATATATATCCATATCACAACGCACCTCTTTGACAAGAAGCAAAAAATGCTTGATACAGGAAAAGAAGAGGAAGTTTTCTTACATATCCATCCATGGCCCAGTTGTCATTCTTAAACTTGCTGTAGTAGTGCTCTGTTGGCCCTTTCACCTGGTAGACCTTCAATAGCAGCTGGTTTTCCTCTGCCTTGTAGGTACCTGGATAGAGATAGAGAACAGTTAAATATACAAATAGCTTGGCTAGCGCCTTGTTTTTTTTGTTAGCGGTTCGAACGTTAGAAAGCGGTTAGAAATGCAAAGAGAAAGACACAGAGGCAAAGGTGCAACTGGAAATTGAGAAGTGAAAAGACTGACAGAAAAGTTGATAAGCAAACAGGAAGAAGAAGACACTTTGACACTGTTTAATGATCATACTCTATTTTCTTCACCAGGCACATGACACATTACGAAAGGAAAAAGTGACATTTACCCTTCAGCTACACGTCTCTACTTGGTTAACTACACAACACAAAACTGCTGCTGTTTAATATGACAAGTCCATTTAAGTGAGACATCAGAAATCTAAGATGAAGATCAGAAACGGCCCTAACCAATCTGGCACCCTAGGCAAGATTTTAGGTGGCGCCCCCCTACATCAGCAGTGTAGTGTAATGTTGTAACAAATAATATTTCTATTAAATAATCTTTACTTTGCATTTTAATTAACGTGGGATTATTTTTTGTATTTAGAAATAATAGTACCAACTTTTCTTTTTTTTTTTCAACATTTGTGGCACTGGCGTGGCGCCCCCTGATGGACGGCGCCCTTAGCATTTGCCTATACGGCGCATGCCACGGGCCGGCCCTGATGAAGATTCTCGACTGGCTGACAGTTAAATTCCATTTTTTACCAACTAGTAATTTTTTTAACACATAAATCTATGGTTCATATAAATTAAACAGAACAGTGTTTAGAAAAATGTGCAATATAAAGGAACGTGCCAGATTTAACATAGATAGCAATGATGCTTTGCTAATATTGTGCAAAGAAAATCAGATCTTTAATAACCTGCTGTGTATTTGCACCTATAGCAGCGCTGCTTCTGTGATATTTACACTACATTTAATATATGCAAATCTTACCTCACTGACAACAAAGTCAGTGCTATGAGAAAGTTCAGACCTTCACATCGTATAAAATCAAGTAATTTTTTAAAACTTTTTTCTATATTTGATGAGATTTTGTCACTCTGTATTTTTTTATATTTTGCTGGGAAAATGGGTCCAATGTAAACATAATTGGAAATAACAGGCAAAAAAGGGAGACAAAAACTTAAGAGCGTGATAATCACTATTTAGTATGACCACCTTTATTCTTCAACACAGCCAGGAATAGTTCTCCAAGTTTCTTAGAGGACATTCCAAAGGTCTTCTTTGGATGTTGGCTGCCTTTTGTTCCATTCTCTGTAAAGATGATCCCACACTGCTTCAATAGGTCCGGGGTTTGAGGAAGACAATCCATGACTCAGTGTTCCATTGTGGTTTTTTTAATGCAAGTATGCGTTTACTATATTGGAAGTGTGAGTGGGATCACTGTTATGATGAAAAATTAAGCTCTTGCCAATCAGTGGCTTTCCAGGCATTACTGCATGGTCGATTCTTGACAGGCATACTTCCACGAAACCATTTCTGATCCACTGAACGGCCGCATGTATCTCTCTGGTCCTGTGTCAGGGTTTTGCTCTATTTTTTTTCCTATTCCTTAAGGACATGACTTTCAAATAATGTTCATCTGCTGTAGACAAATTATTTGGTCCTTCACTTTCTTCTTTTGTGCTCTGTTTGTCCTGGTTCCTTGTTGTTTTAAGGACATACTGCACACCATGTTGAGATTTGCCAAATTTGTGGCAGCAGCTCTTTGGGAATCACTTTGTTATTGCAAAAATACTATTTTATGCCTGTTGAACTGTGTTACTTTTTGTTATTTTTCACAGATTCAACTAAAGAAGAGGGAACAAATTATGTGCTTTTGCAACAGGTTGCTAGTAACAAAGTGTCTAAAGATGCTATTTAAAATGGACTTTTTGTTTCTGTTATGTGTATATAAAACTGTGGTTTATCCCTTAAGTAAGGTGCCTCCTTTGTGCTTGAATGAATTGTCAGCCAGTCCTAAGTGACTTTAAAATAAATAAATAAATAAACATTCTTCTGGAAATGGTCCGGTGAAAGACCATTTAAAAAAACAAAACACAAGGCCGGGCTCCTTGGAAACAAAACGAAAAGAAATAAGGGGTGGCTCAAGACTATTGCACATCGGTGTATTTCAAATATAATTTATGACTTGTAATACTTACATCAGCCTTTGTTTAACTGAAGCAACAAACTGACTCAAGTGTTTCTTGGTTCTGTTTTATGTATAAAACTGCATTAATGTGTTTCACACAGTCTGAAAGTAGAGCACTAGCTCCTCTCTAACAACACAAAGCAAATTTATGAATGTGAATAATAAATTTTGCTTTGAGTGCTTCCTTTCTTGTTTTACCTGACAATCTGATGGACACGCCGCTGGCTTCCAGTAATGTGATGTTGACTCGACCACTGGTATCATTGAACCCAGTAACTGTAAAGGCAGTGGCCTGTCTCTTCCCAAGGTACTCATAGAAGCCGCTCCACTCAGAGTTCGGAGAGAAGACATCCACTGGAACTGCAATGAAGTCAAAGGCACAAAACAGGAGGAAATCTAAAGTTTAGCATTTGCTGTTGCTATCAATATCATTAATGTCACACTGTTTTTTGGATATTTTTGTCAGCTATAATCTGCACCCTTTCCCTGTTAGCACTAAATAACATTAAAGGTCACAAACAGGGAAGAAACATTTATTATTATTAGGATTAGTCATAAATATTTGACAAGACAAGACACAGCACTTCTACCTTTTAGTTACTTCATAATTGAACAGGCCAGTGTGAGTTTGTCTGAATCCTACATTTAGAAACAGGACTTCTTTAAAACACAGCAGCTGCAGGATTCATGGAAGATCAAAACTGTCTCCTTCTAAATGCATATATTGATTACAAAATCCTACTTAAAACCCATAAGGCATTAAGTGGTATTTCACCTGAATGTTTTCACTGATTTATTTGCTGCATCTCAGCTGTACTTCACAGCATTTCACTGTCATCCTATAAAATCAAAAAGCTCTGTGGAATGAACACTCACTGCAATCTCAATACCCTCTTTGAGGAATACTTTGTCTCAATCTCGTTTATCAAAGCGCAATTTAATGAACTCTGTTACAAACATGGGTAACACGGTACATTTGTGGTGGAAGTGAACTCTGCATACCACGAATCTTGTTCTTTTGGACATCTGTATCTCCTCTGCCTTTGGGATTGACTTTGACTCCAACTGAAACATTAAAAAAACACACAGAGATAAATGCTGTTTGCTTGACATTTAAAGTTATGCAGAGAGAGCATTTGGTAGATTTGGGAAAATATAAGTATGTGACGGGACTGAGCAAACAGGAAAAGCACATGTTAAAAAAACCCCATTATCTAATTGCTTTGCCATGTGCTACTTCAAGACAAGAGACAGAAAACTGCTGGCAGTCCATTTCCTGTCTGGGTATTATTGTCTTGTTGCTATACACTTGTATATCACGACATTCACAGCCATCAGTTCCTCATCTTTGAGAACAGATAGCGCTATGAGTATGTGATAAAAAATATCAACAACAACAACATTCATACGCCTGAGGCTGATTTCCCAGAGCACGGAAATAATATTAGTGTGATAAGCTGTATTTATCTTAAACCATATGGGAATATGACATCCATTCTAGATTTTAGGCAACGTATCAGCACATTTTACAAGCAGTGCACTTTCAAGATACAATCTGAATACCTTTGCAGAGCGGTGGTTTTCCTGACCATCTACCATCACTTTTACAGGCTCTGTGCTCTGAGCCCCCAGCCAGATAGAAACCTTCTTGACAGGTGTAGATCAGAGTGTATCCCAAGGTAGGCAGGTCCATAGATCGAACATCTACATTACTGGGGGTCTCTGGCTGTCTGCATGAATGGGCTGAGTGACAGGGAGGGGAAAGAGCAGTTATCATAAACACATCCATGCTTTAGTTTAAAACAAGATAGGAAGTTTTTCTCCATTAAATTACAAATACAACCACCAACACTGACTTTAATTAGCTCAAGTTGGTTTTTTTTTACTGATGTGCCGAAGATACAAATGTGATTGTGCACGGAGTTTTTCCTTACCTATACACTCAGGTTGAGTTCCACTCCAGGTCAGGTTTTCTAGGCATGTTCTTGTCGTTGAACCGAGGATGTGGTAGTTTTTGCGGCACTTGAAGGAAATCTTACTGCCAACCTATTTATCATAAAAAGCATGATAAAAAGTCTTCCCCCAGCCTCTAAAACTCCATATAGTAATCACAATAGTCATTCATCTTGAACGTACCGCTAAAACCTTATAGCACATCCATTTTTCTAACTTTTGTTGTGATCATGAAGTTTATCAAACATTTAAACTTCGATTTTTGCTCCTGCATCACGTGCTGTGTCTGTGTTGTTCTGCTGGTGTTAGTAGTCCTCCTACTCTTTATAGAGTTGTCAGGGGAAATATGATATGAAGATGATATCCAATTATGCCTTCACAAATTGAAGGATTTGCATGTTTGCTTAAACTCCATTAAGGATTGGACAGCCAATATATTCCATCAACACATTCTTATCTCTTCTCCAGACAGCTTGGTGCAAAGATAAAAGAACCTTAAAAACTTTGAGCGTTAGCTTTTCCCTGGTGTTTACTTTTCACTTGCATATGAAGTCTCTGATTCTTGGTTCAGACCTACAGTACTTAATCTCATTTGAGGATGCATGCATGAAAGTGGTAGAACATTGATGCCATTTGTTCTGTTATGCTGAATTTTCTTTTATATAACACTTCCTGAGATACTTGTAGTGGCCCTTCATCATGTTAACAAAATATCTGCAAAATTGCCAAAGTTAAACATTAATCCCATCATTTTAGTAAAATAAAGTGCTTACTTTTCACAATCTTTTATCTGAAAGTGCATACTTACAGTATAATAAATACCTCTTACTTGAAAAAAACTTCAGCTGGTGCTATAACATTCTTACCTGAATAAATTAGTGTTCCAGATATGTAATGAATTATACATATGTTTTATAGTGCACTAATAAATGTTTCTTACTTGAAAGCCTTGGGCCATGACTGGGATACCATAAGCTGGAGTTCCTGGATCACGACAGCTGTTGAAGGCTGGGTCTGCAAATACATTCACACAATGAACATTTTTAGAAATATTTATATCTTTTACAGTCTTTTCAGTGTCATACACTTACCGGTTACTTAGTTAGGTACACTTGTTTAGCTGGTTGTTAGTGCAAATATCTAATCAGTAAATCACAGTGCAGGGCCTCAGTGTGTTTACTGTGGGCCGGTAGACATGTCTATGTCTATCAGCCCACAGTATATGGACCTGTTGAATTTCAAACTGAGCATCAGACTTTGAATGACACATGGTGTTTGGTGCCACAAATCCCTGCACATCTGTAGGGTTCACAAAATGCCTTGTTGATGCCAGAGGTCAGAGGAGAATGGCAAGATGACTTCAAGCTGATAGGAAGACTAACTCAAATAACTGCTTGTTACAACTAAGGTATGCAAAAGAGCATATCTGACTGCACAACACACTGAAGCAGAAGGGCTACAGAAGCAGAAGACCACACCAAGGTGCTGCAGCTGGTGTAATGTTGTGGGGGTACCATTCGTCCCATTTGTACCAAATGGACACCACGGACTATATGACTATTGTTTACCCATCTTCTGATGGCTTGTTTCCAACAGGTTAATGTTGCGTCATGAAGCTCAGATCATCTGAAAAATTGGATTCTTGAACAAGACGATGAGTTAACTGTAGTCAAATAGCCCCCACAGACATAAGATACTATCAGTCTAGTATAGCACCTTTGTGATGTGGTGGAACGGCAGGAGTTGTGTGATCCTATCTTGTCATTATGGCTCTGAGGAATGTTTCCAACACCTTACTGAATCTGTGCCATGAAAAATTAAGGCAGTTCTGCAGGCAAAAGTGGATCCAGACCAGTGCTTGCAAGGTGTAACTAATAAAGTCTTTTTTTAAATTGATTTTTGACTTATTGGTAAGACTTCAGGCACTTAACACAGAAGATTATTCAATGCCTCACCACTATCAGAATACATTATAGTAAATATTAAATATTAAAGTCTTAAGAAGTATAACTTTTCTATGTAAGCACCCAGTTAGCACTTAAATCTGAACAACATGCAGTAACATAGAAAAACACAATTATTTTTAGCAGAACAACGTGACAGAAATTCTGTGATGGCCGTGCTGTTCTCGCAAGACTGATTTAATTTCACTTTTTTCCTTGTAATTGTACAACTTGTTCCAAAATAAGCTCCACACTTCCAAAACAGCGAACACAAACACTTCAATTTCACATCAAAAAGTGAAGGACTGCTTTACAAGATAAAATCTTTAAAGAAACCAAATGCTGACATCAAAACTACACACTTCATCAGTTGACGAGATAATATCTTCAGCTCTAGGTATGCAGGAATACTAATGCCAAGATGTGAATATGAGTAAGCTCTACAATCTTGTTTACCAATAATCTGATTTCACACAATTTTAATCATAATATGATAAAATGTTTTCCTTTGCAGTAGACAAATTGTTCATCTAAAATTGTGAAACTACTGGAATATGTATTTATGATTTATGTAAGCATTCTGTTAATGTGTCTAAAGTCTTTATGCATGATTTTCTGTGTGTAATGCAAAAGTGTGTTGGGAGCAATATACTGACCAGATATCTCAATTTCCTTTAACAAACTGACACTAACGCATTTATAAAAGCCCAGAAAAGCACTGAAATCTTACACTGTTTTCTGTAAATGTCATATCATACATGATAGGTAATTTTAACTTGTTTAAGCTTACCAGATCTCAGTTTCCTGACATGTGGAAACAAAAAATCTTCTGGATGTTTATGGTTTCACGCTGGACTATCATCAAGATACTGTAAAAAGTCCTGTGTCCAGTATATATGAAGTATCTACATCTAAAGCTGAGGCAGCATCTCTGTTGCATTCCTATATACATTATGGGGCATAAATATGAAGTCAGCATATTGTTTACATTTAGTTACCTATGCAAGCTGGTTGTTGGCCAGTCCAACTTCCATCTGCTTGACAGACTCTGGATGCAGAGCCTACGAGCAAGTAGGGGGCATGGCAGTAGAACCTGACCTCTGACCTATGTAGGAAAGCAAATATTAAATTATAATACAAACCCCAAAATTGCACAAAAGTAGGCAGTAATGAGGAATGTTAATTAATTCATCAACTTATCAAAGGGGTTTTGAAGTGAAAAAGTATTTTGTGGCAGGATAACGCAAGTAAATTAGTTGCTGTGTAGAGCACAGAATGTAGGAGACATAATACAACTTTTATTCAGTAGCAATTCAGTTATGCTATTTAAAAAAGAGAATGTATTTCAAGATAGTCGAGTCCCCATTCGGCCATGTAATACTTATGATTATAACTAAAAAGCATAACCACATTATACACTGAACTACTGTGGCTTATTCATTAACTTATAAACCACTGACCGGTATGAAAAGATATTTCCCTCTCTGAATCCTCCTCCAGGAGAACCAGGATCACCACATAGGACAGCTTGAAAAGACATAAAAATGGCGATTAGGACTGTGTACTGGTGCACAGATCGGTTAAAAATGCTAAAAGGTAAACAGTAATGTGCATCAACATGCTGCAGTGTATAGTATATGCAGCGGCACGCTAACTTACGCAGACATTGTGGGACGTCTCCTGTCCAAGTCCCATTCCCCTCACAAGTTAACACAGCAGGAGTGGACAGCTGATAACCGTGGAAACAGCTATAGCTAATACTCGATCCCCATGAATGGTCGGTCCCTTCCACCTTCCCATTCTGTACTTGAGGGGGAGGTCCACACTGGATCACTGAAACACATATAACAGCATTATATACAGTAAAATAAAATAATAGGAAATTAAACAGTTCAAAAGATAACATGAGCTAATGCACCACTGCAACACATATCTAGTAGTAGTCTTGCAGAGCTGGTTGTAAGGTTCATGCAGTATACAACTTAATTCCGTAACAGAGGTGACTGTTAGGGTTCATGAACCAATTAGAAAGGAAACTTTCGAGTTGACTTGGAAATAGCAGCCGGGGGTCGAGAAACAAAGCTGGAAATTGAACAACTGGAAAAAGGTCAACATGACTTGAGACTACAGGTGGAGGTGAAAATACATCCTTAGATGTGAAAAAAGCAAAATCTGCAGATGACTGTAATCACCACTATTTGGATATGTATAGAGTTAAAGCAGCGGATGACCCAAATCGCCATGTTTAGGTTACCGAACCAAAAAAACTAACCGATGAACTGAGAGTTCCTGATACACTTCTGCTTCACAAGACTAAAAAAACTCACAATATATAAAAAATATCAGTTTTATAAATCAAACTACCTCTAACCATCACCTTGAATGATTAAATGGACTGCAAACCCTTTCTGATTTCTGATTTCTGCATACCCCTGACTCCGTTTAGCTTTTGCCATTTGTCATTAGCCTTCGGGCTCAAAAACTAACAATACTGTGAATGTTAAAATTAAATATTCAGTAGGCATCCAAGCGGCACAGTGATATGTTTGCGTTAAAATAAATAGTGTTTTTCATTCATAGAAATAACTGAAGATCTGACCATATTATTAAAAAATGGACACACAAATGCAAATTCACTTAATTATTCTTTCCAGTGTGTACATGAAGCTGAGCGCACGGAGCTGCTGTTCATGTAATGTTAATGACTCACACAAACTCAGTCCTATTTAGAAACTCAATTTTGGAAATGACAGTTTATATAACTAATATTGGGATTAAATTGTCTGACGCATCACATAGGCAAGTATGCATTTAAAAAAGCATTTGTTACACACAGAGAATTTATTTCTGTGATGACTGGAGGTTAAAGGACTTTTTACAAGATTTTAAGAAACTCGCTGTGAGTGTTCATACATGCAAGAGCATTTTTATGTAGCTGGATATGTGTGCGTTTAACTTCATAACACTCCGACAAACATCTCTGCGTGTGCATGTGCCCGACTCCCCACGATAATGATAACCATCTGCATGCTTTCAAACATCTAATAAAGCCAGTGTAATTCTCATCTAACCAGGAGACAGATGGTTTCATGCTCCATTCATTCTGCTATGATGATATACAATAGACATACCCACACACAGAGAGAAAGAGAGAGTGGCAGATAAGCACAGAAACATCCTGTATATACAGAGGACAAAGCAATAAGCAAGTATTGCGCATAAACACATGTAATCGAGAGTAAAAAAATAAGTATATAAAACTATCTGTAATTATACTGTATACAGATTTAATTTTTTCTTGTTCATTTTTTGGAATATTTTTCTGTTCCTCTGTTTGCATTATCGTCACTCTTTCTGAAAAAAGTAAAATCAAATCAAAAATTAATCAAGGACACCTTTTGCTAGTACCGAGTTGGACCCCCTTTTACCTTTAGAACTGTTTTAATTCTTTGTCACAGAGAATCAATGCCATATTTTGGCACGATAGTATTACACAGTTGCCGAGAGTTATCAGCTGTGCACCCATGATGTGAATATCCTGTTCCCCAAAGGGACTCTGCTCATTGAGAGCTGGTGACTGGGGAGGCCATTTGAATCCAGTGAACTCATTGGTATGTTTAAGAAGTGATGTGACCTTTGTGACATGGCACGTTATCCTGGTGGAAGCAGCTATCAGAAGATGGGTACACTGTGGTCATAAAGGCACGGACACGGTCAGGAACGCGTTCTTCCAGAAAACGGCTGATCACAGTTATTCTGTCCTTTTTGGACCATTCCCCGTAAACACTAGAACTGGTTGTGTGGGAAATTGGATTAGTAGCTTCTGAAATACTCAGGCCAGCCCATCTGCCATCAATAACTATGGCAGGTTCAAATTCCCTAAAATCAAAACTTGGACAGTTTGAACTTCAGCAGGTCATTTTGACCATTACTTTGAGTTGCTTTTGTGTGGTTGGCTGCTACGATATGTATTAATAATAAGGTTAATAATGAATAGTAATTCATGATATTAACAATAATAATACCTATAAGTGGTTTGGAGTCCTATGTAAAGCGCTATACAAATACAGGCCATTTACCATTTTTTATTAATAATACTTCATCAGGTGTACTTAATAAAGTGACAAGTACGTGCATTTCATTTGTAATTCTGTGTTATTCTGCCTATGGCAAGCTAATCAACTGGTTACTTCTGGCTTTCTATCTCACCAGTGTTGTGAAGAAGCCTTCACCTCCCCATAGCCATCCTTCCAGCCTTAGAAAAAAAATTATATTTCTCCACTCTACAACGTGTCCTTGTTTGTCCCATTCAAAACAAACCTACGCACCTGCACACAAATCAATGCCAATTTCTTAAAGTATGTACATGATTCATCATTTTATTGTTACGTGACTGTAGGAATAATAGCTGGTGGCTAGCCAGCAGTTAATGAAGTTTCAGTTTCATCACAGAATGAATGTTTTCTTCCGCCTAAAAGCAACTTTGTTGTTGGGGAACAAACTCTAGCTGACTAAAACAGAGGAATGCATTCTTATTGACTTGAGCAGTTAATATTCCAGACCAATATTTCTGTGGGACTCTGATGCCCCAAAACACTCGGGTCTGTAATTGAAGGTTCCTGAACTCTTTTATTTCCTCTTTGTCTCTTTTCCTTGTTGTGAATTGACTACGGTGGCTTCACAACCCAGAGGAAGAGGACTAACTCTCATCCCTGCTTGCTTATGCGCCTTTGCTCTTCCCTCCATCATTGCGCTCGCTGACTCCTTTCCCGATCCTCTCTTCTTTCCTCTCACGTCTCCACACTCTCCTCTTTCTTACACTCTGGTCCCCTGCCTCCTTTCTGTCTGGGTACTCCCCCCCTGACTCCCTCTAACCCTTCTTTGCTTTCTCCCTGCACTTCTCTTCGTTGGCCTTCTGTCCCAGCTCCAGTCCTCTTTCATCCTCTTCCCCAGCTCTCTTGGACTCCTTCTCACACCATTACTGCCTCTCCCTCCCTCCCTTTGTCTTTTAAGCATATCTCTCTTGGTGCAATTCACCCAACCAACAAATTTTATGGGCTTAATCCCTTTTCTCACCGTGTGTTTACAGGTTTGGGGGCAGGTATTGATTTGGCTCTCTTTGTTTCTCCCATCACTCGCTTCCTTTCTCACTTGCTTCTCCTTTGCTTTCTCCTTGTAGCCTCACTGATGGCTCATCACATTCACTGTTTTTCTTTTTTCATTTACTTGCTTTACACTCTCTTTTTCCACCTTCCAATTTCTTTCCCTCTAAATCTCTGGATTATGCATTGTGTGTCACTCTGTGTTTTTGTGTCTCTCTTCTCTAATCCATTGTTTTCTTCCGATACACTCCTTCATCCCTTACCGCCCCTCTCCTCCTCCTAGTCTCCCCCTCTGTCACTCATTGTCATTCTTATGTCTAAGTCCCTTTGATTCCCTTTTGCCTGCAGTTCGATAGGTCCTTCATTAAATGTGTCTATGGGTGTCTGTGTGTTAAAAAGCTTTCGTCACAAAATGAGCTCAAATGATCGATGAGGGGATGAAAACAGGGGAGTTGAACATGAGATGGGGAGATTTAGAAAATGAGAACTAAAGGAGAGCAAAGAGGAAAGACTTTTCTAGTCTATAGCCTGTTTCTACCTCTGTATCTCACTGGCTCGTTCCCATTTTTCCATACCACCTTTAACTTTTGCTTCTCAGTTTCCTCCCCAAGTCACATGCTCTATCAGTATCACACACTATCTTTTACTTCTGCTTTTCCTCTCTGCACCTCTTTCTGCTTCCCTCTCAGTAGCCTCTATCCCTGCTTTCTCAGTTTTTTTCATCTCAGTTCAAAGCCTCTCCAACTGCAGGAGCCAGCAGGAGATTTTCTGTTTGTGGGAAGAAACGGCAGGGTGGATCTCAGGAAACATTCCTTTTTACTGTTGTTGAGTATCATAGTCTAAACTCTAAATATGGCCTGTTGTAAAACTCTGAGCCATTTCAATTTAATGCATTCCTTTTTTATTCTCCCCTTTGTGTTTGTGGGAAAACAGAAGGTCTCAGGAAATAAACCCTGATTTAACACCCTGTTATAGTGAGGAGCAATGTTATTCTTCCTGTGGCCTAATCTTCCACTTCTTCCACTAATGTACTGTTGAATTCACAAGCTGTTATTTACTATACCAGTTCTTATTGCAATACTGTTTTTCTTAGTTAAATCGCCCTTTGTTTTTTGTGCTCTCTACCATTAACTACTATCACAATTCTTCATTGTTTGCTACCATTAGAAGATCTCATTACATTGAGATTTGACACTATAATATGTCGAGTCCATGTGTTTTTATTATTTCAATGCAGAATACAACACAACTTTTTATACTTTCCGTTCTGACTATGAATCAAATTCTGGGACAATTAGCGAAGGTTTTTAGGAAAGAAATCGGAATATTCTTGTTTCACTTTTTTGGCAAATCATAGACATTTACAGAAGGAATCCCTCATTTTTATTTTCATATATCAGAAAATATTATCATATACCTTAACTTCTCTATATAACCAGTGGGCTAATCTAAACAAAGCTTTGCATCAAAACACACATACTGCACTTATTAACATCTATATGTTACAAAAAACATTTATTATAATTCTCTCTTTTTTTGGGGGATTTTATAAAATCAGTCCAAAACAGAAAAGGACATTTTCTTTCTACCACTCTGGAAAAAAAAACATGTTTTGTAAGCAAAATAGCTCAAAATCTCAGAACTGAACAGAAAAAAAAATATTTCTGCATGTAAGCATGTAAATTTTCAACAATATTTATTTTATTTAGTTGGTTTAGTTTAACATTTCATGCTTTTATCCATAACTATGGAAACAGTTATGTATTACTTCCTCATACCTTTACAGCTGGGTTTAGTTTGGTTCCAGGTTCCATCTTTTATGCAGCGCAGAACGTTGCGTCCATGTCCAGGTGGTTCCATCAAGTGACCGGGGTTGCAGCGGTAGATCACTGTGTGGTTGAAGTTAAACTCTCTTCCTATATAGATTCCATTAGCTATTGTCCCAGGATCACCACAACTGATCACTAAAGGAAGTAACAAAAATGTTATGGTATAAGTGAGCCTAAATCTGTCATACAGTGGTGTGCCAGTAAGCCTGGAGCTGTGGATGAGTGCAGCATCATTTAAAACCAAAGCGTAAAAACTGTGCTTTCTAAAATGTCATAAAAACTGTGCTTTCTGTTTACTCGAATTTCTTTCTCCTTCCTCGCTGTAACTTCCCTGAAGCACATTCCAACTTCATTCTATCTACCTCCCACCTCCGTCTCCCCCTTTTCCTACACATCTGTCTGCCTCTGTTAAACTTTACACTTTAAAATCTCTCACACAAGAGACCTTGTGCAGTTCTGAAGATACACAGCAGCTGCTTCCCCAGTCCCTGAACAATTTATGCTACTCTTGAACCATTTGCTAAAGAAAAACACTGCCATACATATAACAATAATGATAATATTTTAATCAGCGCTTCTACGCTGCGTGAGAATCCCATGCTGTTTGAACTAATCACTCAGACAGCAATGATCATCCTACCAGTGCAATCTGGGGGTTGTCCTGTCCACGTCCCATTGGTTGTGCAGTGTCTGGTGGTCAGGCCTGATGTTTTGAAGCCTTCCCAGCACGTGTAAGCCACTGAGCTGCCGAAGGTGATGCCATCACTGAAGACAATTCTGCCATGTGCTGGGGTGCCAGGGTTACCACAGGATACAGCTGAGGGGTGAGGAAATACCAATCAGCGTTGATTAAACTCAGCGATAATATCGGTATCGTAAGCAATACTGTCTTCCTGTCCCTCAGGGCTGATCAGCTGTGGGCTACAATAATGAGATTATCACTAGAGTCAGCTGGAAATAACATAAAATATCTCCTTGAGGTAGTGAAGCTGATTAATGATTAAAGGCTGTTGGGCTAGGGCGACCCCAAAGCTGAGCGCTCGTCCCCAGGTGAGACTTTTACTGCATGTTTCTGTCTCTCTCCATTTTCACTATCCAATCAAGGCAGAAATGCATAAAATAATGTAAAAAAGGAGTGTGTGTGACTGATCCTTTGCTTTTAATTACAGATGAATTACAGTTGTGTCGTAGTGAGTGAGGGGAAGTTGTTAAAACCCCTACATCACTAACGTTAACCTCCAAAACGCCACTGAGCCAAGTACAACACCTGTAAAAGATCCAAGGTCAGGTGCTGCCTGGTCGTGCTTACTGTTTGCCAAAACATCTGCGAGGTACAGCAACTGTAGAGGAAAACAAATGATGGCAAGAAGCAGCACTGGGTCATGCAGCAGGACTGTGGAGCTAATTATCAGTCAATACTTGTGGACAATGTCCTTCCTGAGTCATCTTTGGGGAGAACACAGTTGCAGAGATGAGAGCACAGAGAATACAGAAATATATTTCAGGATTGGCTGTGTGCTTGACATTGCAGCATTCATTAAGTCACACTGGTGTTCATGTTCACAGCTGCTTCAACAGTTCCTCTACTAAAGCCTATAGTGAATCTGAGGGGTTCCCTTTTATTTTGTGGAAAAAGTCACCCTCTGTGATGTCTTCTTTTGAGCCACGGATGTTTTCTTTGTGTCTGAGCCGCAGCTGGTCTTGTAGATTGTAAGACAAAATTGTCAGGGGACGGTTCATGAATGCAGCCGGGAAAGCACTACGGCTCTATCTAGTGAGCCATCGACCTTTAGTCTGCTGGCACAGCACATTAACAGAACCGACAGAAATTAGCACCCAGCCACAGCACATTTCCCTAATAAGATCATGACAGCTGACAGCCTTTAACAATCAAACACCTATTGATGGCATTCATTAGCCAGAACTCTTAAAAGCCTCGTTCAAAAGTACGTGAGACAGCGTGTAGGTGGAGCACATCATACAAAGCTGCATGTGCGTCTATGACAGCAATTTCTTTCTTTAAATCTGTGAGTAACAGTCTGTAGATGAGTGTGTATTTAATTGGAAGTGTGTATGGATTTCTTTGCATTTGTGTGTGTCAGTGACAGATGTCTTACCCTCTCTGAATCAGCTTTTAACCACTATTAGCTTAATGAAAAACAACTGTAGACAGACATAAATAATTACCTTACACAATCACAGACAATGGCACACACAAACACACTTCTAAGGTGTTTGTGTGTGTCTGTACGACTGACTTGATATTTACGTCAGTTTTTCAACATATACAAGCAAATCAAGACTTACAAGAGGTTAAAATTAGAGACTTTCTGCAGTTTCTCAACCACACGCTTTCCACAACAGCTTTGCATAATTTCAGTTTAGAGCTCTGTGTCTTAAAGTTTCAGCCACCTATATTATTTTAAACACATACAGTCTAAAGATAATGATTTCCAACAGGAAGAAAAAACCCCCCAGCAATTTAGCAGCTAAATTTACGGATAACAGTAAGTACGCTTTGTCCTACTGTTAGTATACCGGTGACTTTTTGTGTCACAGGCACATAAACAAGCACTGATACATTGTGACTCCCTCTTCCTCGACCTAGCAACTCAAATTGCTGCGAGAATAAATCGTCTATCCAATTGAATTTAAAATTTGCATCAGACTACAGTGTAGACCATGTCTGCTTTACTCGGCCTGAATATCTGTGGTGAAAATCGGCAAGGCTACACAGGCAGCAGCTAGTGGTTCCAGTGTCTCTACAGTTCTAGGGGGACCCACTTTAATTTTCCCTGGATTCCCATGGGTTCAAAGAGTGTCTTTGGAAACAGCTGTTGACTATAGGATGCCGTTTATTAACACAGTGCTGTCAAAGATCCAACTTATTTACGAGTGACACACTTCAATCCTTTGTGTCTAAGCATGAACACAAACAAACAAACTTGAGTCTTCATATTTTAAATTCAACAATCGTCTTACATTATGCGTCTCTGGTGTTACATCTCTGAATTTTGAGAACATATTAAAATGACCACTTATGGACAGACAACGTTGTTAATGATTTATTATTGCGTTCTTGCTGCAGAATTTTAGACCGCAGTGAGGAACTGAAAAATCAGCAGAGGAATTACACTCACTCAATAGCCTATATAATGTTTATTTAAAAATGAATGGCTTTAAGTAGGATCAAAATATGTACACATACTGTAGTAAAATTCACACTGCTACACAAACTCTGAAACACGCTGTTTTTTTCTTTCCTGTCTCTTTAAGCTGTCCTCCCAAATGGCCCAGCCTACTCTAATAGGTCAATCACAATGTGGCAAAGGAATGTTGGTTGTGTATCCTAATTATGTGATTACAGATATAACTCTGTAAGTGTCAGCTGGTAACACAAAAACCCAGGATGCAACTATGTGTGAACCAGAACCAGACCAAGAACATAGAGAGGGTCCTGCAGAGGTCAATAATTCATTTTGCATTGTTATACCCCAAACCGCAATTATCATTTACCGGTACTTTTTAACATATGTACAAGTAGGGAGTGCCAACTAAAGTTTACAGCAACTTGCACTGTGGCAAGAGTGCAAAAAAGACTCGTCTTCACTTTTAGAGCCAGCAGCAAACCAAGAGCATGCTTTGCACGCCGATGAGAGACGTTGGAGATCAGTTTTGCAGAAGTGTTTCTAGCAAGCAAATGAAAAATGGCAGACTGCGAGGCAGCTGCTCATTAATATTCAACGCAATAAAAGAAACGGAAAACCCAAGAAGTGTAATATCAGCATTTGTAACATTAAACCTCTATATTTAACTCTATCTGTATCACATATGGGCAAAGTATGGTGGACCATCTCAGTCTGGCCAACATATTACAGTAAAGAAAATGAAGTAAAATGAGTCAAAAAGAAGTTTTTACGAAAACCCAAAGACTCAATAAATATGTGTAATATCAATTATCCAATATGGGCTCTTCACTCTTACTTTATCTAAATCACTATGACTCTCACAAAAAAGAAAATACTTAGGATAAAGATCTAAATGATTAAATCCATATATCAGGCAGACTTTATAAGCAAATCTTGTTTGGTTCCTTTTATATCAGGGTATATTTTTAAGGCAATGTTTTATAGAATCTAGTCTGAGGCCCAAAGGTAACCTCAAAAGAGACAAAGACGACTTGCCATCAAAGTGTATGTTTTCAAAACAGACAGTTCAGCATGTTGTCACATTTAAATTTCTTGTATAAAGCAAGCAGCAGCCTTTTAAAGGCTCTATATAAATAGAATACAGATAAGAAGACCCCATAAATATCTATCTCGAGTCAAGTAAGAAAGTACTGCTTCGATTTTCAGCACTATGACAGAAAATAACTAAATAAATAAAAAGTTCTATATGCTGTTTAAAGTGTAAGCTGCAGTTTACGTTTCACTCAAGTTCAAGTGCCAAACTTTCACCTAACATGAGGAATATAAATGGTCATTTTGACACTTCCCACCTTGACAGACAGGCTGTGTACCACTCCAGGTGCCATTATGAAGGCAGGTCCTCTCGGCTGACCCAATCAGGTTATATCCTGCCTCGCAGCTAAAGCGCAAAAGGCTCTTGGTTTTAAATTCCTCTCCTCCTATACGGGCACCATGAGGAGGGATCCCTGGGTCTCCACAGATTCCAGCACTCACACCTACAGCAAGAAAGCAAGCATAAAGTTAATGTACCAAACTCAACAATGCTCTTAAAAACCAAATGAGTCCCCCACCCCCCAATATAATCCTGGACTGCTGCGACACAAACATAGAAACACATCAAAGCACATCAATTTGCACAGTGGATCCAAATACACTTGCTGCAGTCATGTCCATTAGTTCTAATAGGTTTTAGTGAATTTGTGCAACTAAATGGGAAAATGCTAGATCAGGAGGTCGTCTCTCACTGGTATCGTTATGCTAAAAATACACGCAAGCATTCATGCTAGAGGTCAACAACATCAACTAAACACCATATGCACTGGAGAAATTGCAATGACACAATTTGCCTGCTTACCCTTTTCATATACAGTAACTCACACATAGATGCACATACTCAGACATGCAAACTTTGTAGAACTGTACTTTGCATTTAGGCTATACCAAATTGTTCTAGCATTAAAAGCACTGAGCGTGTTACAATTTTAGCAGCTTAAATTCCATCGGTAGGGATTTGTGAGTTTAACAGGGTACAGCGCCAAATGCAGTGTCTTGCATCTCAATGAGTTCTTCAGCTGCAGGATGTATTCTGCCCTGCTGAGTGCTCTGTTTTGAGGCCAGCAGAGTAAGCTTATTGCATTTCAGCTGTTGAGACTGTTGATGCTGAGTTTAGAAATGATCGGTTGTAGTGTTGTGGGATCTGTGTAACCCCAGTGTAGAGGAATGCTTACAACCTGAGAAGTGAACAAGGACTCTGCCACCTCTCTATTCCTGCCTGTTTCTAACATGTGCAGTTCAAGCCAGGAAATATGCCCTGTAGTATAAAGTGTGCTCAGTTTCCAGCATGTAAGAGATCACCGTGTCTCTGTGTTTGTGATAAATTGCAGAGGTAACAAAAATGACATAAAATACTTTGTCACGATAATTTACACAAGCAAAACTGTCAAATGGTGGCATAGTCATAAATTTGTAATGCAATAAAAAGCATATAAAAACTGAAAAAAGTTTTTTTTAACAGCTTGAAAATGTTCAAATAATTTCTCCCTTCATCTTTTTTTGTAGAACAAATGGGAGGACATGTGCGATGAAGGGCAGCGTGGTCATGGGGTGGTTAGTTCTCAGTAAGCTGGAAGGTAGGTAATTATAATCAACGATATAAACAGCTTGCTGCAATTTGTCACTTATTAAATTGATTAACTCATTTAAAATTATGGCGTCGCTTCTGGTATGTTATCCATGTCTGGAACTGTGGAAAGTGGAAAATTGAATCTAGAGATAAATATTCATAGAGCACAAGGACTAACTTTCGATCATAATATGACGTTTCTTAGGTGACTGTCTACCACTGTCATTTCCTCAATACAGTACATCACAGTCTCTGATCTAAAATCAAAAAACAATACGGTGAAGAATTGAGTGGTTCTGAAACACACAAGGAGCCTGTCCGTCAGTCAGGGATACCTGTCAGTTCCAGTTAATACTTCACAGTATATTATGCTGAGGCAAAACAAAGATGTCTTAGTGCTGACTTGCCTGTGGGGTATGGCTCACTGTTTTTGTTCCAGATGGGGTGTTGCTGTTTTTTTAATAGCTCAATCTTTTGTTCTCAAAAAACACTTGTTTCATTCTTCAATTCCCTGAAATTCTACTGTTTTTACCTTTAATCATTGAGTCTTTGCTATTCTGTAGCCTTTACTGGTACTGTTTACCATCTGACAAGATCTCTGCATAGTATGTATACACTAGCAGTTAAAAGTTTGGACACACTTTCTCATTTTATGTTTTTTCTTCATTTCTACTACTTTCTACATTGTAGATACATATTGAAGACATCAAATATACGACACAAGATATATAGAATTATGTAGCAAAGAAAAAATTGATAAATAACTCTAAATATGTTGTATATTTTAGATTCCTGAAAGTAGGGACACTTTGTTAACAGCGCTGCAAACCCCTGGCCTTCTATCAATGAGCTTTATGATGTAGTCGCATGAAATGGTTTCACTTTACAGGTGTGCGTTGTCAGGATTCATTTGTGGAATATTTTTGCCTTCTTAATGGGGTTGGGACCATAAGCTGTGTTATGCAGGTTGGTACACAGATGACAGCCCTATTTGACAACTGTTAGAATTTATATTATTGCAAGAACCAATCAACAAGTAAATAGAAACGACAGGCCGTCAGTACTTTAAGAACTGAAGGTCAGTCAGTCCGGAATATTGCTAAAACTAACAAGTGCTACAATGAAACTGGCTCACGTAAGGACTGCCCCAGGAAAGCAAGACCAAGAGTCACCTCTGCTGCTGAGGATAAATTAACCTGAGTCACCAGCCTCAGAAACTGCAAGTTAACAGCACCTCGGATTAGAGCCCAGATATGGATTTACACTAGTGGAAATCTGTGCTTTGGTCTGATGATTGCAAATTTGAGATCTTTGGTTCCACCCG